ACCATTAAAAGGGTTCTTGGGGGCTATGGGGAGTGGAGGGGGATGGGAAGTGGTGGGGAGGACATGTCCCAGTGGGGGATGTGGAGGTGCTTGAGCAGGGCCTGCCATACGTCTGCACCCCCACACACACTTCACCCCTGTGGCGCCGGTGGCAGTAGGCAGCATGTCTGTGGCTCTACTGCAGGCAGAGCAGGCAGTGTTGCAGTGCCTTGTGACCCGGGCTCCTACATGCTGAGTGGACCTGGCCTGGCCCGCTTGTGTCTTCGATGAGCCGGGTCGGATCCAGTCAGCATGTAGGAGTCTGGGTCACACAGTGCCACATCAGTGCCCATCTGTGCCTACAGCAGAGCCACAGCCATGCTGCCGCTGGGGCTGGGCGGGGTGGGGGGGCAGGCATGTGGCAGTGCTGCAGGATGGCAAAGGAGTGCAGGGGGGCAAGTGGATGGTGCTGGCAGCGCGCAGCGGGACTTGGCCCAGCTCAGTGCCACACAACTCGCTAGTTTGGCTTTACACTGGAGTAGGTCGCTTGGGTCCTGTGCAAAGGCAAACTAGCTGTGTGGCCTAAGCCAGATCAGGCTGGTGGGGCTCATTGGAAAATGTGCCCTACCAGCCCGATCCGGCCCGGCCCATGAAGCTACTGTGCCTACACAACCCACTCTGGTGCAAAGCCAGACTAGCAAGTCGTGCAGCGCTGAGCTGGGTCCTGCCATGCGCCTTTTCCGTGCTTGCGCAGCAGGGCAGGCAGCACCACTGCTGGAGGCTGGATCTGGCGCGGTGCACAGGGACCATGTGCCGAGCCGTGCTGGGTCCTGCCGGCACTGGGGCCCTCACACAGTGAGACTGGCCCGGTCCCATGATGGCAGGACCCGGCATGGAGCACAGGGACCATGCGCCAAGCCGCGCTGGATCCTGCCGCTGCGTGAGGGCCCCAGTGCCGGCAGGACCCCGCGTGGCTCACTGCGCAGTCCCTGCCAGACCCTGCTGGTGTGGTCCCTGCGAGTGCATGGTCCCTGCTGCAGAAGGTAAGTTATGAGCGGTGCCTGGGACTCTGCACAGGGGCGGGGCTATGGCCCTGCAGGGTGCCTGGGACCCTGCATGGGTGGGGGGGGCTGTGGCCCTGCAGAGGGGGGCAGTCGATGTGCTGTGTGGGGGGGTGCGCCCTGTGGGGGCCAGGGGACCCAGTCCTCCTGAGCAGAGTCCCCCACAAGGTCCTCCCACACCTACAGTTCCCCAGCGGTCACCCCACACCCAACTACACCCACACTCACCCGCCTTCCTCCGCACCCCTTCCCAGCCGAAGGCCAAAAGCACACATTCACACATATAGATATTTAGAATTAATGTTATTATAATGATAGAGACACTGGTAGGCTTCCAAATTGCTTTAACATTGTAAATATACCAATAAAGCATTGCTCAACTGATCAATCTCTCTCTGTCTGTCTGTCTCTATATATACGTGTGTGTGTAGAGTGGTCTTTTGTTCTAGCTGTGAAAGAACATGGATTTTGGGGTATTTTTAAGAACAGATTTGGGATGGTGCTGCAGCAGTCCAGCTGGCACAAGGGATAGTGTCCATAGATAACAATTGGCCGGCCCCAGAAGCTCCTGAGAGAGTAGCCCTGAGCTGCTTGCTAGGGCAGCTTTGTATACTGCTGGGGCTGGCACAGGTGTTGGCCCCAGGCTGTAGCTCCCCCTGGCTGCAGATCTGGGAGGAGCCAGGCAGGATTATTTTGCCCCAAGTGGCACAATTTGTTCCACAACAAAGTGCATGTCTGGGTCCGTGTGCTGAGACAAAAAGCCCTGGCTCAAATTTGCACCACTTCTTTTTGAGCTGCTGCATGTGCACATGCCTGCATGTGTGGATGCACCCAGAGAGTCCTACTGGTTCACTATAGATTCCTTATTAGTTCCCTTCTTGATGCCTGTCCTTTGAGTGAATAGAGTTGGGTTATCGATAGGTAAGTTGGCTGGTAGATCTCATTTCTCACTCCTCAGGCAATCTTGGCTAGCCTAGTAAACTGATTGCCTGGATGTAGATAGATCGTGTATTTGAAATATATTTCTCCCTTGATGAGCATGCTCTGGATGGAGGTTTTCTTCAGGGGAGAAAAGTTGAGAGTTAATTGGCTGCTCAAGTGTGGGAGGATATTTGCTGCTAAGGAAAAGGGGAGATTAATGATATTTAACAAAGTTGAGAAATGTAACTTTAGATATGACCACATTGCAAACC